GTATTAAAACAGAAACATTTCTGCCATCTATAGTTTGTGCTAAACCTTGCTTTAACCATTCAAACACAGAGCCAATATCTGTATTAAAACAGAAACATTTCTGCCATCTATAGTTTGTGCTAAACCTTGCTTTAACCATTCAAACACAGAGCCAATATCTGTATTAAAACAGAAGCATTTGAATCGTACATTTCTGTCATCTATAGTTTGTGCTAAACCTTGCTTCAAAGACAAACTTTCAAACTCTCTACACATCGTGGTCAAAATTAATTAACCTAGAAGTCATTCGTTTGTTCAGTTATGTAAAAATAACAGTATTCTTCTAATTAATTTTGGATATAAGATAAACCACTGGAAGCTTTTAAGGAATCTTTTAGCCAATTAAACAAACAGGCTGATTCAAATGATTATTTTTGAATTCCTAATTTCAACTATGTAAACAACTTTGTCGTGTGGAGTTTTTAAACACTTTTTTAGAATAATAAAAACATTACTCAACTAAAAAAAAAAATATCATGATTAATAAGAATTTTTTGTATCTAATCTAGTCTGTTTTATTGGGTTTCGTGTCAAGCTATACAAGGGCTATCTGCACTCGCCACTCCTAATTTAAAGTAGAGGGAAGACAGCTAATCAACACCACCTAACTCATGAGCTACTGTTGTCAGATTGGATAATGAAATTTGACTGTCACTCTTATACAGCACCCACAACTGAAAAGTGCAGATATATATTTTTTATTCCCAGTAACCTAATACAAACCTCAGTTTTATAAGCTGGCCACATTAACTGCTCAACACTAATACGGTGTGACAAATATATATAAAAGTTATGTTGCTCATATCCTTCAAATAAATTATACACATATACGTGTCAAAATACTAGAGATAATTATATGCTCTATTATATATATATGCATGTATACATCTATAAAAAAAAAAAAAACCTTTAAATTCTGTGATGTCAACATATTCAACAAGACGTTCCGAGGATGGTTGTGATACGTTCTTCCCATACATTATAGATTTTGAGTCTAAAAGCAATTCACAATCATCATCACGACAAAACAGGCTGTTCATCAGCAACCCACTTGTCCCTCCTTCATCAAACTGTGCAGTCATTTTGTGAAACAAAGGGTCCACCTAATGAATTGAAACAGGACCTCATGGATGTACTGAAACCTTGGCAGTCACAAGTAAAAATATTACATAATAAAACTATTACACAAGGTTTCAGCCAAATTAGACTTGTGTATATCTTTAGTATCACCCTTTCATTTGTTAAGCCAGTCACAAGTAAAAATATTACATAATAAAACTATTACAGCTTAACAAATGAAAGGGTGATACTAAAGATATACACAAGTCTAATATGGCTGAAACCTTGCAGTCACAAGTAAAAATATTACATAATAAAACTATTACAGCTTAACAAATGAAAGGGCGATACTAAAGATATACACGAGTCTAATATGGCTGAAACCTTGCAGTCACAAGTAAAAATATTACATAATAAAACTATTACAGCTTAACAAATGAAAGGGTGATACTAAAGATATACACAAGTCTAATTTGGCTGAAACCTTGCAGTCACAAGTAAAAATATTACATAATAAAACTATTACAGCTTAACAAATGAATGGGCGATACTAAAGATATACACAAGTCTAATTTGGCTGAAACCTTGCAGTCACAAGTAAAAATATTACATAATAAAACTATTACAGCTTAACAAATGAATGGGCGATACTAAAGATATACACGAGTCTAATATGGCTGAAACCTTGCAGTCACAAGTAAAAATATTACATAATAAAACTATTACAGCTTAACAAATGAATGGGCGATACTAAAGATATACACAAGTCTAATTTGGCAGTTTCTTAACAATGTATAAAATGTACCTAAAAACAGACATCTGATGAATGTAATATATTTTCAAGAACCTGAACTGGTCTTGAAGAGGGGCATCACTGACCAAGACTCTCTCTCTTTTTTAACCAATTTAACATTTTGGAATCCTATGTTATAAATGTTAAAACTTTTGTTATTTAACAAAAGAAAATTATTGATTTAAAAGTTACTGTTTCGTGAGAAACAGAACCAAACTCCAGTATAGAGTAACAAAAACAAAAATCAACTAAACATTCAACGGTCTCTTGGTTTTGTTCACATTTTATCTCAGCTAATAACACTGTTTCCTCTTTGGATAAATATGACAACTGTATTATGAGGCAATCAAGCAACTTTCAAAAATCTTACCTCAAACTCCAAATCAAATTTGTTTAAATTCAAGGCCTTCACATTCTGCTCAACGGTGTTGCTTTTCTTGGTCTTGAAACAGAGAGGGACGTTTATGAAGCAAAAACATTTCATGAAACTGTTTCTCTACAACGATCTAACTTATTTGATAAGACATCAATACCTGGATCCTTAACCTGAACTATATTAATTGAAAAAACAACGAGTCATCTGTTTTCATTTAAAAATCACTTTCTGCTTAATAAAGTGACCACAGAGCTTTGTTGACCACAATCAAACTGGACATGTGGAAGTGTCAAAACCTATAGCCGTACAAACTTGTTTAGTAACAGTGAATCTAAACTGCATTTTACAAACAAGTTAGCAAACAGATCTGATTAACATTTTACAATATTTCTTTGCAACTTAAAAAAAAAACAACTTAAAATACAAATTGAAAACATTTTTCTTTTCTGGAAAATTATTTCATTATTTGACCTTTTAATATAGGGCTCAACTTTTCTCAGTTTGTAATCTGACGAAAATTCTGGTCGAGCAGCTTATCGCTGAGTAAGATTATCAGGTCAGTGAAGAAAACCTTTCTATGAACACTTATATTTTCTCTAGAGCAATGTGTTAAAATATGACTACAGATAAATCTCAACACACTTACAATGTTCCACGAGTGCGTAAAGGCAGAATTTTTTGGCATAATACATTTGCTACTTTGCACTAACGAGACCCCTGTTTCTATAATTCTCTCTTCGAAGAATATTAACATTTTTGTTACATGCATAAAGGCATAAATGCGTAAAGGCAGAATTTTTTGGCATAATACATTTGCTACTTTGCACTAACGAGACCTTTGTTTCTATAATTCTCTCTTCAAAGAATATTAACATTTTTTTTAAATGCATAAAGCTTTACATTTAAAGCTACACGAGGGCTATCTGCGCTAGCCGTCCCTAATTTAGCAGTGTAAGACTAGAGGGAAGGCAGCTAGTCATCACCACCCACCGCCAGCTCTTGTGTTACTCTTTTACCAACGAATAGTGGGATTGACCATTACATTATACCGCCCCCGCGGCTGAAAAGGTGACCATGTTTGGTGGGACGGGGATTCGAACCCGCGACCCGC